GCAGTGGCAGTGGCAGTGGCAGTGGCAGTGGCAGTGGCAGTGGCAGTAGCAGTAGCAGTAGCAGTAGCAGTAGCAGCAGGAGCAGTAGTAGTGGTAGTAGTAGTAGTAGTAGAAGTAGTAGTCGTCGTAGTAGTAGTAGTAGTAGTACTAATACTAATATCAATATTGATATTAATATAATATTAATAATATATACATATATATGTATATGCTTACATGTGTGTTTTCATATATATATATACATACACATATGTATAGGTACACACAGAACGCTTAGCCCTTGGATTGTCGCTCCTCTGCCAGGCGGTAAGGAAGTGGAAAGCTGACGCCGAAGAGCTCAAACGCGATGCTCTCAGCCAACCTTCTCGAAGCCACATTGCACTACAAGTATAACGACCCTAAGACGCACAAGTTCTACTTACGCATGTTTCGGTTTCTGGTTTCGGGGTTGTTGAGCTTAGTTTCATTTTTGACTTATGCTTCCGACCTTGCCTTCCATAGCTAGGAGTAGAGCTCAGCTGAATGGCTGCTAGCTGCACCTACAGCTGTGAGCAGAATCATACTAGAAATGAGGCCGATTGAGTCGAAGTTGTGCCGGGCAGAGTTACTAGGAGCTTGCCAGTTTCGTCGGCTCTGACGGTCGGTGTACTCTGCGATTGACAACGACGAGACGACCATTACTACCACCAATATCATTACCACTACTGGAACTTCTTTTCGCCCCGGCACCACCGTACCACCCCCACGCCGCCACCATCTGTTTCCAGGACGATTTTCAAGTTGTCAAAGAGCCCATTGCTGCCGCGGGGCGGGGCCCCCTAACGCGAGCGCAATAGTGCCGGTGCGGGGGCGGTGCCGTGTGACCGAAGGACACCAAAGGACACCAGGCACCGGTGCCGTTCTACGCTTGGAGCTGTAGGGCCTGGCCAGATAGCCGCGGCCTGGTGCCGTCACGGAAATCGCGTAAACGCGCCATCTTGGGTGTTGGGCGGTGTTGGGGTGTACATCCGTTGAATTTGGCGTGACTGGAATGCCCCCAGAAGCGGCCAATTCGGTCCCGGTTGAGGGACTATAAGTGGTGTCTCCAGGGCTGCATGTATCCACACATGCCCCACACTGGCAAATATCGCATCGGTCCGCATCAGATTACGGGCATGTTCTCCGCGGTTCCACGTGGTCCAGGCCTGCAGAGGATCTACAACTCCACCAGCAGCCGCCTCGCCGAGCTGGAAGCCAGGCTGCTAGTAGCTTCAGGGCTGCGACGATGCGACATTTGCTGTGTTCATCCTTGCTGAGGAAAGGGCCTTGGACCTCAAAGAGAAGGAGCTTTGGACGATTGCCGGTGGATGTCACGTAGCAACACAGAGCCATCAGGAGCGCGAGGCTGCGTTGGAGAAGGAGCGGCTCATGGCCGTCAAGTACAAGGACAGACAAACAAACGGCGATTCACACACAGAATTCGGTTTCCTCTCGAGCGAACAAGATGTACCGGTAGTGTACCAGGACAGCGGAGGGAACTCGCCTGAACAACAGGCAAGCACCATCCACTGCACCAGCTTCCAGCACAGCTTTCATCGCATGATCTCTGTATTGATGTGAAGTGGATCCACGAAATTAAGGTAGTTCAACTATGCCAGTTCTTATGAAGTGCAGCAGAAGCCTGGGCCCAGCCCAATGGGCTTTCGCAGCCCAAGGTGCTGTACTGATCAGGAGCTGGATATATTCAAGCTGGACATCATCGCTCGTGAGCTCAAGGACTGGAATAAGATTTGCCATGTTGTCCGCCACAATGCTTTGTCGGCGTGTTGGCGAGGTGAAGTGTTTCTACACTAAAATTACTGGGTTTTCGGGACAGAGCTGTGTCTTGACATCCTATCAGATCCCGTGCTGACGGCTTGTCTGACTCACACTTTGGTACTCCAACTAATTCAGCGTAATTCCAACAGGCCGAAATCAATGTCAGCATCGCGGATCCTGCAGAAGTTCTGCAATGCACGCCTCAACACGGAGAGCAGACCCTGCAGCCCCAGCAGGCACTGGACAACGAGCTCGGCCGAGTGGGCAGCGGTGTGAAGTTCCTTGGACACATCAATACATCAATGAACTTATGATCCATGGATTGGTTCTGCTTGCTTTCTTCGTTTCGTTGTTGATGCCAGGGCCGAGAGTTGTGGCTCGTAAGGGCGTGAAGTGACAGTCTGGTTTTGGAGCTTTGGGCTCGTGGCCTTAAGTTCTGTCGGGTGGTGTTGCTGTTCACCAGAGGTCTTGAGGATCCAAATGGCCTTTGTGCTGGGAGACTAGAAGGCAGAAACTTATAACACAAGGCACCTGCGGACCAGTGTCGGGATGCGCGTCGCTGCTTCTTCTGTAAGTGTCCCGGACACAAACAGCTAGGAGCCTAGTCAGCCTGTGCCCGTAAGCCTGCACGAGCCCGACTCCAAAGACACGAAGACTAACGAAGCAACAATCATCACCATGACCATCGTAGCTTCTACCTGATCATCACACGATATCTCACAAGAAAAGCGGCAAGCAATCTTGACCACCAAGATATTCAAGGTTCTCCCCTTCCTTTTGCACCACCCCGGGCAGGGCAGAGACAAACAGCACTAGAAACGGTCTTGGATTCAACACAGTACGAGAAGCCACGTCATGATGATGTGTAGACAGGTCAGTGCAAAGCATACAGCGCAAGCTGACTGTGCTGCCAGCAACAACTCTGCGACGGACACGAGTTAGACGTACACCGCATTCACGCTGAGACCCACAATCACGAAAGTCCTTCACATCGTTGGCTGGCAGAGGTCTTTAAGTCAGGACTCCAGCCGCCTAAGGCGCGAGTCGGGAGGGAAGGGTTGACGAGGTGATGGGGTGACAGTGAGGCTTTGGGATCTAACCGTTGTGGTTGAGGATATTAGGTGCCAGCATGTCACCAACAGTTTTTGTGGTATGGGTGTTCTTTCTCTGGTTGAACGCAAGGCGATCGCTGAAATGTTTTCCATTTTGCTTGTGTGTGTCGATAGCAATTTCAGTGCAAGGCTGCAACACTTCAGGTTTAGGTTTACGCTCTTTCTTTCGGAAGGATTGGTTGAATGCAAGTTCTGGGTTTAGTTTTGTTTGCCGAGTTGGCAGTTAGGATATTGGAGTTTCAGCTGTTTGTTCAAGCTGCTGATTCTGATTGATTGGTTGTTCCGGCTTTTGCCACAAGGCAGAGTTTCTGGAGGCATGTTCAAGATCGGATTGCATTTCTCTACACTTCAATTCAGGACTTGCAACGCCAACACAACGTGCTGAGGAGACACTTATCGTGCTACTATTCCGCCCTGTAACACGGCATGAAGACTTCTTGGATGAAACTCCATGTGTTTCTGTTGTGAAATCAGAAGCTATGGGAAAAGGTGAAGCCCTTGCCCGGCTTCGCAGGAACTACGACGAGCAGCAGATGGTCAGCCAGCACAGCAACAACCTCCTAGATCAGTGCAAACTTCTGCGAGCACACATCCGAGATGTCATCAACAAGTGCCTCTCCGAAACGCAGAAAATGCAACTTGGCATGTGGAGTACGGCCATGTTTTGCGAAGCTGGGAACTCGAAGATACGATGTTCAGACTCCAAGCTCGGACGAGCCATGGCCGCATGTGCTCGAGCACCTGCACAGTAATGTTTGCTATGACTACACCCAAAACCCAGATCGAAGCTCAAGCCATGTCGGATCGACGTTTCCTAGTCTTCAAGGCATATCGGAGTCGGAATTGATGATTACCTCGCGGCTGGTGAGCTGAAGGCTCGGCCATGTCTGTCTGCCATACCACAACAGAAATGATGCTCATTGCTGCGCCCTTTCCGTTACCCGTTAAAGACTTGTGATTTGGGCTCAGGTTAGGGGTACTGGTTGTGGCAGTCGCAGTGACAATTGTAGTGGCAGGTGTGCCGGTAGTGGTAGCAGTAGTAGTAGTTGCAGTAGTAGTAGTAGTAGTAGTAGTAGTAGTCGTAGTAGTAGTCGTAGTCGTAGTAGTAGTGGTAG